GGGGGACATAACAACGGACTCTGAAGAAATCCAGAGAATCATCAGGTCATACTTTGAAAACCTGTACTCCACAAAATTTGAAAATTTAAAGGAAATGAACGACTTCCTGGATAACTATCACTTCCCAAAACTAAATCAAGAACAGATAAGCAATTTAAATAGACCTATAACCCCTATGGAAATAGAAGCAGTCATCAAAAGTCTCCCAACCAAAAAAAGTCCAGGTCCAGATGGCCTCAGTGCAGAATTCTACCAGAAATTCAAAGAACAGCTTATACCAATTCTTCTCAAAGTATTCCACACAATAGAAGCAGAAAGGTCTTTGCCAAACTCTTTCTATGAGGCTTCAATAACCTTGATCCCCAAGCCACACAAAGATACAACTAAGAAAGAGAACTTCAGACCAATATCCCTCATGAACATTGATGCAAAAATACTCAATAAAATACTGGCAAATCGGATCCAAGAACACATCAAAACAATCATTCACCACGATCAAATAGGTTTCATCCCAGGGATGCAGGGATGGTTCAACATATGAAAATCCAGCAATGTAATCCACCATATAAACAAGCTGAAAAACAAAAATCACATGATCATCTCACTAGATGCTGAAAAAGCCTTTGACAAAATCCAACACCCCTTCATGATAAAGGTCTTGGAGAGATCTGGGATATCAGGGACATACTTAAACATAATAAAAGCTATATACAGTAAACCAACAGCCAACATCAAACTAAATGGACAGAAACTCAACGCAATTCCTCTAAAATCAGGAACAAAACAAGGCTGTCCACTCTCTCCATACCTTTTCAACATGGTACTTGAAGTTCTAGCCATTGCCATACGACAACAAAGGGGGATCAAGGGGATACAAATTGGGAAGGAAGAGATCAAACTTTCACTGTTTGCAGATGATATGATAGTTTACATCAATGACCCAAAGAACTCTACCAGGGAACTCTTACAGCTGATTAACACCTTCAGCAAAGTGGCAGGCTACAAGATCAACTCAAGAAAATCAGTAGCCCTACTATATACAGATGATAAAAGGGCTGAAAAAGAAATCAGAGAAACATCACCCTTTACAATTGCCACAAACAACATAAAATACCTTGGGGTAATGCTAACCAAACAAGTGAAAGACCTGTATCGCAAGAACTTTGAATCTTTAAAGAAAGAAATTAAAGAAGCCCTCAGAAAATGGAAAGACCTCTCATGCTCTTGGATAGGTAGGATCAATGTAGTAAAAATGGCAATCCTGCCAAAAGCAGTCTACAGATTCAATACAATCCCCATGAAAATCCCAGCACAATTCTTCACAGACCTTGAAAGAACAATAATCAATTTTGTATGGAAAAACAAAAGACCCAGGATAGCCCAAACAACCCTGTTCAACAAGGCAACGTTCGGAGGCATCACCATCCCTGACCTCAAGCTCTAGTATAGAGCTATAGTCCTGAAAACAGCTTGGTATTGGCACAAAAATAGACAGGTAGACCAATGGAATCTAATTGAAAACCCGGATATTAACCCACACACATATGAACATTTGATTTTTGACAAAGAAGCTAAAAATATATAATGGAATAAAGAAAGCATCTTCAATAAATGGTGCTGGCATAACTGGAGGCTGGCATGTAGAAGAATGCGGATCAATCCATGTTTATCTCCATGCACAAAACTTAAGTCCAAATGGATCAAAGACCTCAACATAAATCCAGCCACACTGAACCTCTTAGAAGAGAAAGTGGGTGGTACCCTTGAACGAATTGGTACAGGAGACAGCTTCCTGAACATAACACCACTAGCACAGACAGTGAGATCAACAATTAATAAATGGGACCTACTGAAACTGAGAAGCTTCTGTAAGGCAAAGGACACAGTCAACAAGACAAAAAGGCAGCCCACAGAATGGGAAAAAATATTCACTAATCCCACATCTGACAGAGGGTTGATCTCCAAAATTTACAAAGAACTCAAGAAGCAAGTCTCCAAAACATCAAAGGACCCAATTAAAAAGTGGGCTGCAGAACTAAATAGAGAGTTTTCAATAGAGGAGTCTAAAATGGCTGAGAGGCACTTGAGAAAGTGCTCAACATCCTTAGCCATCCAGGAAATGCAAATCATAACAACTCTGAGATACCATCTCACTCCTGTCAGAATGGCTAAAATCAAAAACACCAATGACAATTTATGCTGGAGAGGATGTGGTGAAAGGGGGACACTCCTCCATTGCTGGTGGGAGTGCCAACTGGTTCAGCCACTTTGGAAATCAGTATGGAGATTCCTCAGAAAAATGGGAATAAACATACCACAAGACCCAGCAACTCCACTGTTAGGCATATATCCAAAAGATGCCCATTCATACAACAAAGATGTCTGTTCCACTATGTTCATAGCAGCATTATTTGTAATAGCAAGAACTTGGAAGCAACCTAGATGTCCCTCAACTGAAGAGTGGATAGAGAAAATGTGGTACATTTACACAATGGAGTACTATTCAACAGAAAAAAACAATGGAATCATGAGATTCGCAGGCAAATGGATGACACTAGAAGAAACCATCCTGAGTGAGGTAACCCAGTCACAAAAAGAGAAACATGGCATGTACTTTCTCATATATGGATTTTAGACATAGATCTGGGGAGTGCCAGCCTACAATCCCATGGCCAGAGAGTCTGGGAAACAGAAACTTCATTCAGTGGCTGATCGAAGAAGAGGCAGACTTCCTTGGTGAAGTACTGAGCTGAACTCAAGAAAGCCAGTAACAGAGAGGGAGGACTGATGACCAAAGGGATTAAGACTGGGCTGGTTTAACCCCCAGAAACAGCTGACCTGACAAAGGTTAACTTTTGAATCCCAGGCATCAGCCTGGGAATCCAGCATGGGACTGATCAAGACCCCCCCTGAATGTGGGTGTCAGTGAGGAGGCCTAGGTAATCTATTGAGCCTTGGGCAGCAGATCAGTACCCATCCCAAGTATACACACGGACTTTGGACTCCCATCCAACAATGTGAGGCGCACTCTCACCCTGAACTCTTGGGGAAGGGTCTAGGCCCTGCCCTATATGAAATGACAGACTATGGACACCCCCATGGAGGGCCTCACCCTCCCTGGGGAAATGAGGGGATAATGGGGGGTTGGAGGGAGGGCACAGGAGGAGGGGAGGGAAAGGGAGGGGGACCTGGAACTGACTTGTGAAGCAACCTTGTTTCTAATCTAAGTTTAAACTGAGAAATAAATTTAAAAAAAAAAGATGATGGGCACTGAAGAACCCCCATTTTATTTCAATATGGCAAAGATAGACATTTGGGCAAGAAACTGCCCTTGCCTCGACTGCTGACAATATGCTGTCCAAATTGGACAAGCAGGACACAAAAGATAGCAAGTGTCTAATTTTGCCAAGACAAAGTAGGACATTTCTTCAACATTTCCTGCTTCACAAAAAATTCTGTCCTATATTCTAGGCCTGTAACCAAAGGTGGACACCCAAATGTTGTGAAGGAAACTGGGGATGAATGTTCTGAGAACCAAATGTCTGTCATTTCTACAGTTTGGAAGTTGTCTGCTCTTAACTTCATGTTTTCTCAGGTAGTATTATATCCCTCTCAGGTCTCTGATGGGGTTAAAGACTAGATAATCACAGTTACTTAGTCATGACAGAAAGTAAATTAGATACAAAACATTGGACTCATCAGGAGAAGATAAACAATGGAGTCTCTCCTCTAGGGTCTGTGAGGCTCTCAGGGAAGTGAACGCAGAACACATTGTTCCTGTGTGAGGCGCATACAGCAGGAAATTAATAAGCGTTAGCTGAAGAGGTGAGTGAAAGGTGTACCATGTGAAAAGTTTCTGATGCCAGGAGGGGATGCTGACTCATCTTTCAAACGACAACTTCAAGTTTCATCTCTTTTTGTTGATTTGTTGTATAATTGTTGACCACCAGTTTTAGGAACACTTGGTAATGTCTGCAAGCTGTTTTGTTTCTGGTGAGGTCATTGCTAACTTAATTTAGTTATTTAAAAAGGCAAGAATGGCTCATGTTAGTATGAACCAAAAGCTTTTTAGTCTGTCTGTGAACTGAGGACTCTACACAGGATGCCTTCCACTCACCCTGGGTGACGAGGCAAGAGGAAGGAGGAGAGTTAGCACTGTCCACTTTCCCTAGGAAGCCCAGCTAGACAGTTCTGTGGTTAACCTAATTAATGTATCACAGATCTTCAAGTAGGGGTTTCCTCATAATTGTCTTTTTTCGGCTCCAGCTCCCTACAAGAGGTACTGTATCATACCAAGGTCAGGGTCAGCATCTCTCTTCAAGCCCCAGCCACTGTCAGGAGGAAGATATCATTTAGCTGGGGTTTACATACGCCTAGTCCCTAGCTCAGCTGCGCCCTTCTGTAAACTGCAAAACTACTATGGGGGTGGTGCAGAGACAGACTGTGACTGATCGCTTTTCTTGGTTTGGAGAAGACTGGAGATAAATCGAATTTTTTTTCATCTTATGGCCAGACCCACAGTCGGGCACTTTTGCCTGTGAGCTCTGGGAACACCAGCAGCTGCCTCATTCCTGTTGTCTTGTACAAGATCTAAATTAATGCATCCACTCTCCTTACACACCCTCCTAAGGAAAGTAAAAAAATAAAATAAAATAAGGAGGGGCCGGTGGCTTTAATTGCAAGCAAACACCCGGCTGTCCCCCTGCCTTGTCCCCTACTGGCTACCTTTCCTGCACCTAAGTCTCCTAGAGTAGCTGTGACCCGACAGGTACTTGGACACAGGTGTCCTACATCCCACTTTACTAAGTCCCACAGGAAAGACAAAAGGCAACCCAAGGCATCATGTACACAGGCCTTAGTCTTGCCGTGTCCAAGGCCACACTGTCTAACGACCATATTAAAACATAAATAAATAGAGACATTGGGAGTGAGATTAAAATCAGGTTGACAGGTAAACATAGATTTCATCAGAGGCGAAATGTCAGCATTAACGAGCATACCGCAGTATCCTGGGGTCCCGCACACTGTCTTCATAAGCACTTGGTGTTCCACGATTTTAGAAAGTCCAAAATCAGCTAGAAACACAAGAGAAGAATTTAGTGTGCCAAGAGTTTTTCTCAGCTTCTACAAGTATTTCTGCTTTTCAAAAACAAAACTCAATGCATTTGTTTACTTCTGATACGATGGTAGGTGGATAGGGGTGGGAACAAGCCACTTTTCTGAAGCTTAAAAAAGCAGTAATTCAATCATTTCTTTAACTGGGAAGAAAACATGACTCACAAATACATTTACAAATCATTTATGATGCTTGTTTTCCCCTAAAATCTCAAAAAACATTAAAGACACGTAAATAAATTTTCTTAAGGACTTTAACTGTCATGTTTATAATAAGAATTCCAGAGAGTCATGTGACAGTAACTCTCAGAGAGTACAGGCTTAGTGATATAATTTGGAGTCTTCAATTCACTGGCGAAATAAAGTACAGATTTTCATAGATGCTATGGAAATACACAGAAATGTCAAAAGCTTATCCTGACTGAAAATAAATAACATCAGTTCCCAATGTTTGACAGATAATAATTTATGCTCATATAATGAACAAAGCCCAAATTCTTTCTATTTATTCCTCTGTAGATTACTTAAGTAAAATATTATCCAAGTTGCTACAATGGTGACGCTTTGTTGAATGACCTCTCCTTCAAGCGAGCCAGAAAGCTGCTGGAGGTCATTCTCCAAGGGAGGGAGGCGCGGATTGGATGCCATTTTAGACTTCAAAGATACACCCACATTTCCACGAGGTGCCTGACCATATCACTGAACACAACAGGCAGTCCTGCAGAAAGAAAGGCTTTCCTGCCCAAATTAGTATCTATCCATCCATCCAAGGAGATTTCTTCAAGGATCATATCTTTGGAAGTGATGTCAAAGGAAATGGAGACTCCCTGCTGTCCAGTGTCTTTCAGGAGTGATTAACAGTGAGCTGGCTGCCCAGCAGGGTTTTCAGAATGCTTCCTTTGCTTTCTCACACTCTGCTGGCTGAACTCCTCCCTGGTAGAACAATGTAACTTTCATAGGTGTTAACACCTCATAAATGCAGTGAACACATCAGCTTAACTCTGAAGGTGAGTCCGGGGAAGCCCAAGAACCCTCAGTGGCTTTCATACAGATCTGCTGAGACTTCATCTCGCAGCAACTCACAAGCGCCTTTGGAAATGAAAATGTGCCTTATCAAGTATGTGAGATGTAAAACGCATTTTCTCCTAATGGACTGATTTCACTGGGTGGATGAGAACTGCCCAAAGCTCATCTTTATCATTTTTCTGGGTGTAATATGGGATGGATTTCTAGAGCCAAATATTTCATTTGGCATTTTCTAATTTATTTGGCCAACCACAGACCCTTTGTAAAACTATGTCCTCCACAAACACACATATATAAGGGGGAGTTTTAACTGATTGGCAACAGCATCCTGTGGAGAACAATTTGGAGATAATGGCCTTTGAGTTTTCTCTGCTAATATAAACAAGAGATTCAGAGTCTACACTTGCTAATTTGTACCAAGTATTCTGTATTAAAGTTCTTCGTTATATAAATGCAAGCTCCAAATTCTTTGTCAACTCAAAGCTAAGAGCCAAGACGCAAGTCATCTTTTCACTATAAACTCACTTACAAAACACAAGGTCATCTTTTGAGGTCCTCATCATTACTCAGCACCAGGACTGGGTCTCCTGTGAGTGCCCAACAACGGGCTAGGGAATTCTAGAACATGGTATCAGATGAACAGTCCAGAAAAAAGGGCACAAACTGACAAATGATGCCAAGAATTCGAGGAAACTGGACAGAAGAAAATTTACAATTACAGAGAACAAACGGTTTCTGCTGTGCAAAAGAAAAAACAGGTCCTGAAAGACTAGGAAACTTTCTTACCAATTTTGAGAGGTGCATCTGGGGCTGGAGTCGCATAGAGGAGATTCTCTGGCTTGAGGTCACGGTGGACAATGCCATTTTCATGAAGGTACTGCACAGGGAAACAATGAGGGAACAGCTGTGTTAGTTTCATTGATGGTTCTGATGGCTCTGTCTGACGATTTATCAGCTCTACCGTAAGCTTATGGCTCAGCAACGCACACTAGGATCTTTAAAACTCCTATCACGAAGAAAACTATGCTTCAAGGATTCAGACTAACGAAAGGCTTGTGAGTGGCAGAGTGCCTTCCTCGTATGAGGGAGGCCCTGCAGAGAGCTGAGACTGGTCCTCCCACTTCTCGTCTGCCTCTATCAAACTCATAGCTGTGTTCTGTCCATTTTACCTCCAAAATGTTTCCCAAATGGTCTGACTCCTTCATGTCATTACCCAGACTTGTTCCCTTCGAACTATTCTCCAACCAAGCAAGAGGAAGCTGCCGTTGATTCTCCTTGGAAATGGGATGCTGGCAGAGAGGAGTCACTGGCTGGAGAGATCTGGTGTGTCTGGTTAGAGAGGTCACCAAGAGGAGAGGCAATAAAGAATACCCAGACCCTAATTCTCACGCTGGCTATGGAAGGAGTCTCCTGGTTTACCAGAGTGGACGGATATGGGTAGGCATTCTCTTTCCCATATGTCCAAACACATGCAACATTTTAGTAAACATCTACACCATCTTCTCCCACACTCAAATCAAAATCCGAAGTCATTCACTTGGTTAAAATTTTAGTGTAACACTTATTGCTGTTGGCAGCAGTCATTAAATGGACCCTTATCACTTTAAATAACTATCAGACAAGAGAGCAATGGCAAGCAGGCCCAGTCTTAGACAGGCAAATTTTACGTTGACAGAATATGAGCCTGTAAACAAATACAACCCTATAAAGACATATGAAGTAGCACACATGTCATCACCAAATGAACAGCACATAAAACTCATTCGCATGTAGGATTCGGGCAAGCACATGCGGGGAGGCAGCTCCCCTAGGGGGTACACGCATGTTTAGGTAACTAGATACACTAAGAAATGATGCGTCGTGTGGGAGAAGGCACAAAAATGGTCTGCAGTTCCAAAGAAATAAGCAGCAAGCGTTTAGCATGAAGACGACAGCATCCGGAGTGGGCACAAGGGAGACGCCCGCACAGTCTTGGGATCCGAGAGGCACAGGGCAGATCTGGGGATGAGGGAAAACGCCCCAGTCTCGGGGACAGGGGCTTCTGCTCAAAGCTAAAGTAAGGTTAGTAAAGGCGATCGTGTTTGACACAGTGGTTCATGCTCTACATGCCGAAGAGAGTGAGGCCGGGGCGTGGCACATAGGTAAGAAGACTGTGCCACACCAGTGTGAGGAGCTGAGTTAGGATCCTCAGAAGTCGCGCGCAGCTCGGCACAGTGGCAGGTCTATAATCGCCCTGCTCCTCTGACGACATGGGAAAATTCTGGGACGCCCGGCCACCTGGCCGGAAGCAGGCAGATTGAACAAGGCGCCTCTCCAGCAAAGTCAATGATGGGGCTGTGATCCGAGGCTGCCCTTTGACCTCCAAACACATGACGGAAGCATTCTTGCGGTTGCATGAGGACACACGCAAGGAGAAGAGCAGGGAGTGGGGAATGGAGGAGTCGACATTGGGATACGTGAGAGAAGAAACTATTTGGCTTCAAATGAAGGCAAATCACATATGAGAAGAAGCAGAAATTAGTACATTTCCCCCTTGGAATCCCTTTTACTCACAGATATACAAGCAATTCCTAGATTAAGTATGCATTAAAGTAGAATGTGGAATTTAAAAAGAAACAGATAGATCCCCTAAATATACCTTATCACATATCTCTTGGAAACGCAGCCATCAAAAGCTCAAGCTCCCCTTCAGAGATTCAAAGATAACACTGCTACTCTGACTTCAGAGGGTGTCTAGACGTGTAATTAAACTCTCTCCATGGTCCTAACAAAAACTGTGTCATTGTGTAATGAAAGCCACTACGTGGCAATTTGGTTTAATTACAGCTCTGCTGTGTTCGATGGGCTGTGTGTGGTTAATTGATAATGTCTCAGGAGTTGGTAGAAGGAAGTATGAGTCTCTTTAAAAATCTAACAGGACACTGAAGAACTAGTCATTAGAGAGAGAAAACAGTGTTCTGGCTACAGTTTTCCTACTGGGGATGAAAATTAAGCTGCATGGAGTTGTTCTTTTCTGTGCTTCAGAAAGCTTAGAATCAATACCCCCAAATTTAAGTAAGGATATCGGAGTGAGCACTCCATTTTGTGTCATATCTGCTTTGGACACCTGCCACTTGCATGGTCTTTATCTTGGCCTCCATATATGGCTTCAAATCTGTCCACAGAGGGCAAGCATCTCCCATGACCAGGCCAGCAGAAATTGTACCATCTGACAGGGGCTATTATAATTGTATGCACTGGTCCCTTCCACATCCCAAGTCTGGCATCCCTGCCACCTAACCTGTTTCAGACTCATCCTTCATCCTGCTGTTTTCCTCCCTAGGCTTGAGCAAATGACCCACAGATAACCATTTCACTCATCTGCTGTTTTTGTTTATATCATCCTTGCTGAGCAATAACCTTTGTGCCTCTACAGGCACTGCTACACTGCCATTCAGACTCCCCGATAGAGACATAGGCTTATATTTCTAAATCACACAGTGACTCAAAGCGAGGCCTGAGCTGAAAGCAAAAACAAAGTGAAATCTTACACCTACAGACTGAAGCCTAATTTCTCCAGAGTAAAAACGCTATGCTGTTCTTTAAAGTGAACACCTAATCTGTGTCTGCATCTTTTCTTTTTTTTTCTGAGATGACTGTTAATATGCACACGCCATACAGTGCAGTTATTCCTATGTCATGGTATACACGTTCCTGTGCAGTTCCCAGAAAAAACGTAAAGGCTCTGGAAGTCGGGCTGAGGGGAGCATATGGGTAAAGCTTGTGCTGTGCAAGTGTGGGGACCTTGATGTGTGCCCTCAGGAGGTGTATCTGCTATGCCTGGTGTATGCAGTGGCGGACTCGCACATGTGGTGGTGGCCTGGTACATACAGAGGTGAGACCACAAGAGACCCTGCCTGAACAAGGAAGAAGGAGAGGACCCACACCTGTGACCTGTGGTTGTCCTCTGATAGCTACACCACACTGACACACAGGAACCTGCACAGGTGTACATGAGCACTCACTCACACACACACACACACACACACACACACACACACACACACACACCATACATAAATATATGTAGGGGTGAGCCCCACAAAGCTATCCACCCTAAGAGTGGGGATAAGGAAATTTAGGACAGGTAGAGATAAAAGGAAGTATAAGATGAACAAACCCCTCTTCTCCCCTTCTCCCCTCTTCCCCTGGAAGCCTGCCATGCTTCTGACTCCCTAGCCTTTTGAGTGTAAGTTCTTACTCTGGTAAATACATATATTATCAGGTCCAAGCTGGCTATGATGAGCATACATTTCATTTATGCAGAACAGCGGCACTGGGTGCTTTGAATAAGGGTTGTAAACCAGGAGAAAAAGTGAATCATGTTCAAAAGTGATACAGGGTCCGAGAGAAAGATTCTCTGAATTCTTACAAAGATTATCCAGAGCAATAGACTTACAAATAACTGATCCAAATATTAGGCGACTTCTTACAGAATCTTTGGCTTATGAGAATGCAAACCCAAAATACAAACAGATGCTGTGGCCATTAAAGATCAGATCAGCACCATTGGAGGAATGGGTCTTGTATACAAGTAATATTGTCCAGAGACAGGAACCTGGTGGGAGAGGCAATTTCTAAAGGATTAAAGAGGAATCAAGATGAAAAATGGCCTAACCAAGAGGAGATACAGACTTGGGTTGGGGAAGCAATCTCCAGAAGTTTCAAAATGTATCAAAAACCTAGATGTTTTAAATGTGGTAGACTAGTGTGGGGATACCAGACCTTGAGCAGAGACCCACTTCCCCATCAGCCTGGGAGTAGGCAGCTGTAAGACAATGTTTACTAAAAACATGTTTACTAAAAACAATACAATGCCTGGGGCAATAAGTTCCTGGAAAGGGCTGGCCCACGGGAACTGCCCTGACCTTGACCTTTTCCAAAGACTAACCGCCTCTTCTGACACACCCAAGTCAGTTTCTGGTGTCAGAGCAGAACCAGCCAGGGGTAAGGAGAGAGCAGAAGCTTTTCTGGAGGAAGGCCTTTCTTGGGAAGTTTTCTTGAGCCTTTTTGGGGTTGCTTAAAGTTTTCTTTACACCGTTGAATGAGTCTCTGTGTTGTCAATCCCTGACACCCTCCGCACATTCTCGGACACAGGCTGCGCAGCCGGCGCGGCAGACTAGGACATTTGAGTAGGAACTGTAGACAAAGCATTCCTAGAAATAATGCTTCTACCAGAAATGCTTCAAACAGAAGGCCTCAGCCTTCTGGTCTCTGCAAGAGGTGTGGCAAAGGAAGACACTGGACCAAGGAATGCTGGTTGACCACAGACAGACAAGGTAAGCCTTCGCAGCTGGGTAACGGGTCCAGGGGCCTCTCCGTAGAGGCCCCCAGATCAAAGGTGGTTCGGTCTTTCCCAGTAACAGTGGAGGACAGCCTCTCTCAGGACAATTAGAAAATCCACAGCCTATTGTAAAGACTAATCACACTATGGATAACAGATTATTGAGGAGAAACCAGTTGATACAAAAACGTATATTTTGGCAAACTTCTGTACAAGTTCACAGACCCAAATTGCCAGTAAAAATGAATAAAAAGTATTTTATGGGGTCTTAGGCATTGGAACGGATGTAACAATACTAACTCAGAAAAATTCTAGGATCTCATGTGAAAGAAAGTGCCAGATGGATAGAATGTATTGGACCAGAAGGGCAGAGAGGTAGTTTGAGGCCATATGTGGCAGATATTGCTATGAATCTCTGGGGTTGTGATTTGTTACAGCAATGGAATACTCAAATTAACATTCCTCCTGTATCAGATTTGAATCATAGACATGCTCTTGATAGTAGAAAAATATTGTAAGGCACTACAGAATACAGATGCTAAACATACAGCCTG